AAAGGGTGATTTTTAGTTGGCTGACGTTTGGGATACGTTTTTTTAGCAGCAGATTTTATTACAATGGCAAAAGTCTGAATGATAACACAGCTTTAGTTGTCTGGTCACCTGGATTATTGCATAAGATTCCTCCATGAACTGTGAAGCTTTAAAAGAAATAATTTTGAAGGGCTTTTGGCTATATATTGCATAGGCTTGTTCTTGGTAGTGCGTTTACCAATGCGTTACCATCTAAGCCAACAAGGGAGAGCCATGGTAGCATGAGACCAGTCCAGGGCCCAGCTCCGGTGGCCTTGTCACCGCGTGGGAAAGCAATGGCCTCTGCCAGGCTCTGCCCTGTGGCTACTGCTGAGACTCGCAAAAAAGCAAAGTCTGCAGTCTGGCTCTTCAGCCTCTGCTGTTAACCTCCATACTTCTGCACAGTGATCACCAGAGGAGGAGCAAACTGAAACAGTCCTTCTTATCACATTCGGTGTGTAAGTACTTAGGTGGCAGATTGATGTAAGCCAATTTTAGGGATATTTTTGCTTCTTTGAAGATCTGAAAGTTGAAAAGTGTATTCTTTAGCTGTTAGTTTATTTCGTTGTGTTCAGAGAGCTCCATGTCTTTGCAATTGTAGTAATCCACCTGTGTAATGACTAAAAGGTGAAATCAGGTTTGCTTTTTGTTTGGTCTGCTGATAGAATGTGTGCAGGTTATCTTGGCACCTTCAGCAAAATGATGCAGCACAGTGGTGTGCTGCATAGAGCCGTGGGATGCCATGAGTTTTCTTGTTTACATACTGATGGAAAAAATACAGATTCAATGATATGTAAAAGGGTGGGTTTTTGTCAGTGTATTCAGCCTGATTTGAAGTTACTGTACTTTACAGAAAATAATTTATGCTTTTGAAAAATCTTCTGGGGGTAGTACCAAGTTCCTCAGGTATTAGTCATTAAATGAGACCCTTCTACATTCTGTAAAATTCGAATGACTGTTCCAGCTAGGATTTTACTTTATGGCTTTTATGTCTACAAAATGTGTGTATTGAAACCAGTAAGCATATGTTCATAAATGACCTGTCCTAACCAACTGTGAATTGTGAAATGCAGAGCAGTATTCTGTGCTTCAAATCAATAATACAAGAAAAAAAAAAAAACACAACAAAAACAAACAAACAAACAAAAGACAACACTCTAAAACTCAAACCAAACAAAACCACCCAAACCCAAACACTTTCTTTAAAACTTTAAAATATAAATGACTTTCATGTATATTTTTAAGACTTTTTTGTTGTTGTTCTTTTATGTGTACCCCACATGAGCTTCAATGTTTGGAAGTGCAAGTGTGCAGTTAATTAGTTTTTATGAAGATAATGATTTTTTAAGTATTAATAATAAGACAATCCAGAAAATTGCATGATTTGCAGGGACACCCATGTTGGCTTTTGATGCACTGAGTTTTAATTTATATCAACAGAATTTGGATGATTTTTTTTTTTCTTTTACAACATGGTTGTTTCTTTGCAAATCCTAGTAGACTGATGGAGATATAACTATCAAAGCAATTTTGGTTTCTTGAGTTTGCTATCAATTTCAGTGACAAATGGAAAAAGAAAAAACAAGTGTAAGTATGTGTTTTCCTGCTTTTATATACTCGGAAAATGAATAAAATGAGAAATATATAGGAAAAGGGTTTGAGTTTGTTCATATGTGCTGGTGAATCAGAAATACCACAATATGAATACTGGAAAGAGTGGTTTAAGATGAATATTGTCAACTACAGGGAAAGGAAGTTTTCTATGGTTTCAGTTTGATCTTGTCTAACTTTTCAGGATACTCAGTTGTGAACTCTGAGCCACTCTTTTTTGTAAACTTCATTCTATACTAGGTATGTCTTCTGTTTCTCGGTTATCTATGGTAGCAGGAATCCTTCTGGCCAGATAACTACAATTCAAGAATTCATGCTAGGAACTGGAAGAAAGGTATCAACCAACTGACAAATCTGTGTATTTGAGAGGGAAAACGTGGTAAGGAGAGAATACAGTGTTGTGCCGTGCTCTCAGGGGTGAACTCTGGCCAGCATTAGTTTCTCCTTGGTGGAATAAAAAGGGAGAGGAAGGGATGAATTAAGAGGGGAGAGAATAGCTGTTGTCTTCAGTTGCTTCCTGGCCAGCACCCTGGCTTTGGGGAAATTGGTAGAGTTTATGACTAGGGCAGGACATCTGCTGCCTATAAGTGGGACCAATTTTAAGAAACTTGATTCCTCTTCAGAAGTTGTGAGGTTCTTTCCATTACTTTTTGCCTTATCATCCCCACCTTGGTCCTTGCAATTTGAATAGACCTTTAATCTGCATGAGCCAGATACAGATGTTACTATTAGTAGTTTTAAAGTGCATGGGTTTAATGCCAATTGCAAAATTTACCAAGATGTTCTTTTCTTTCTTCAGACCTTGATAATCCTTACATTTTAGCATCTCCCTAAGGTTCCTTCTCTATTGTCTGCTCTTGCCACAAGATCCCTACTCTCATTCTCCTTTCTCATTCCAAAATGAAATATGGATTTAATGTTACCTTGCAATATGAGAGAGATGAGATAAGGAGAACTCCGGTGTTTTGTCACCCGCTATCTATTTTTCCTGTCAACTACAAAACTGGAAGATATGGGAGAGTATTGCAATAGTGAGTACAAGGGAAGGGACCTCAGGGAAGGGCAGGTAGACCTGTTTTTCTGTTTCTCAAGGGATGCCTAATTCTCGTACAAAAATGAAACTCCAGAAAAAAGAAATACATAAGCTCATGTGGTAAAGCAGGTGGATATTTTAGGAAGACTATCCCTTACACTCTTGGTCAGTGCTCTTGTTCAGTAAAGTCATCATCCATCTCTTAACAGTTCATTCAGAGTACTAGGAATATAAGAAGTCTGCAGGCTTAGCAAAGAGATGTGTCTTGTTTTGTAGATTTTTCCTCTCTACTCCTTCTCCGACCTCCCCCCTCCTGCCCCAATCCCGCCCCCCCAACCCCGCAGAAAGGCACTATGTCACCAGTTTATAGGAAATTGAACTCATGAAAGAAGTCACCTCCTGCTATAAGCATGAAATGAACATGGACATACCTATTCAGACAGAGGTTGTAAAAAGTTTCCCTTGTTTCTGCAGTATAAAATGCAGTTTTCCTTTTAACTATAGCATTGGTTATTAAAACCTGGACACTTGGAGGTACAGAACCTTTCTTGTTTCACACTGAGCAAGAGTTTACCACCCACTGCTACCCTGTCTAAATTTATTCAGTTAAGCTAGGTAACCTGGTATCCTCAGTTATATTTATTGTTAGAACAGTATCATAGGAAAGTGTTTACAAGGTGATTTATTGTGCTTAGTTCTAAGGAATTTTCTGGAGATGATTCTTATTTGACTGTATAAGCAAAATGTGATTTTTATTTCAAGTGCAGTATACAATTTATTTTTATTGTCTACATGCATTTCTGCATTTTTCAAAAAGTAAAAAAAGCATGCAGGAAATACAGTGAATTTCCTTTTCCTGTTTCTTTGAAGATTTCCTTATCAAGTTCTCTAAATTTTTTTTGCTACCTCCTGAGAAATTGGTTCTTTCTTAGAGATGTGTGAGAAAAAATCACTACCATCTCTGCAAATAATGAAATCTCCATTTTGACTTTATTAAGCAGAATAGACTGCTGTTCTCTGAGCAGCAGAAGTTTGGCTTTTTCTCCTGAGGAAAGTTGATTTCAGTTTTCTATATATTGTTCATTTTGAAAATAAACTTTTGGTATTATTATTGTTGTCAAGATTGATGCCTACTGTTAGAAAAGAACAGCATCAATTCTGTGTAAGATACAAAGGTGACAGCAAAATGTGGTTTGACTAGTGGCAGCTTTAAATCTAGCATACTAATATGTGGCTTTAATTAGCAAATTCTTTAACCTTAATAGCTAGTCAAATGGAGACCTGCCTTTCAGGAGCTTATTATCTCTGAGATAAATAATACTTACTAGAATATTAATACTCTATTGCAAAAACATTTAATAGAGGTATTAAAACTCCAAGCATTTTATAAAAAAATAAATGTTTACAGAACTGTAATATTTAAGTTTGAAACATTTAAATTATTCAGAAGTTTCTAGTATAGCACTAAAGATACTAACTTTTCCTTTAATTCCCCATTGGTGAATGTTTTGGTTTAGTCAGTGAAATTTAAAGTAATGAACAAAAACACCCACAACACATAGTTACTTTTGGTCTCGAGATGCTTGCTTAATATGAACTTGCCTGCAAGATAGTTCAAGGCTCCTCTGTATAAGCTTCTGACCAAGATAACTGTCAAGTTCGTTTCCTTTGCCTCAATATTGTCTATCTGTTTTGACAGAAGGGCTTGTCTATTGTATGTTTGGGCATCTATTAACTTCCTTCTTTTTTTTTTTCTTTTTTCTTCTTGGGAGTTGCTTAGTTTAACTTTTTCTGACTACTTATGAATGTGTTTTGGAAACCTGGAGGCCAAGTGTTGCTCCTGCCTGCAGCTCTAAACTAGTTTCCAATTGGCTTGAAGCATAGTTTGAAATGTGCAAATTCACTGCATCAAGCATAAACCTGGATTGCCTTCTCCTTGACTGGCAAGAGTAGCATTTGGTAATGTAAAAAGGAACAACTAGAAACATGCACTCTTTTTTTTGATTGAAGAAGACTTTCTGTAGAAAACTTGTGATATATTGATAATGCAACAAAAAAAAATGAAACAAATGCATTTCAGTAAGCACACTTTAAATTTTTATCCACGAGAAGGAAACTGTTGGTATAACTGTCTAGAGTAGTATTGCTGAAAATCTGTATCTGCAGAGCACTGAGTTTTAGCTTGCTGGTTTATTTGTGAGTTAAGAATTTGAAAATAAGTATTTATTTTGCCCTAATAAGTTTAATTTGGAAACTCTTCTGGATTGTTACTGTTAACAAATAATAATAGTTAACAAAACTATGTTTATTGTTGCTTTTTTTAGTGTAAGTTGTGACAATGACAACTGAAGTTGGCTCAGAGACTGAAGTAAAGAAAGATTCTGAGCAGCTGGGAACAGACAAAGCCAAGGAAAAGCCTGAAGAAGCATTAAAAAATCCAGAAAGGCAAAAGTCCGAGGAAACATCCCCTGAAGAAGCTCAAGATTCTTCCTCTGTCCCAGCACCAACCAGCCAAAGCAGTCCAAGCAGGCAGAAGAAGGAAAAAGCTTCATCTGAAAGCAAGGGTATTTCTCGTTTCCTTCCCCCCTGGCTTAAGAAACAAAAATCGTACACCTTGGCAGAACCCAAAGATGAGACCAAGAAAAGGACCCCCGCAGAAGAGAAAGTTGAAGAAAGTGAATGCCAGACACCAGAGGGGGTGGCTCAGCCAGAAAAGAGCTTAGAAGAAGCAGCAGCTGAAAATCAGCATAAGGCTAGAGCAGACAAAGAAGAAGAACGCTCTGTTAGTATTGCTGAAGCACAGGTACGTGTGGGCAGGTTAACAGATGCTTTGCAGTGATTTTAGTGAGACCTGTTTCGTGACTTATGTAATTCATGTAAAGGTTTATTAGGGTCATCAGGGAAAAAAAATACAATTACTACCTGGCCTTTTGCACAGTTAGGTTGATACAGTTATGAATATTACAGCTGCTTTTAGGGGTTCCTGCTCTGTGGCAGACCATATATTACTGCAGTAGTTCTAGATGTCTAATTTTGGTGTAACCTCACTCTGGTATAGTTCAAAGGAACATTGAACTGTGTTAGAAATGATCAGGGATAAGAGGAGAAGCCTCTTAACTCAGCTTTGTCTCTGAAGCCGTTGGATTGCACGAATACCTCCTTAGTGTCTTAAGCACAACAAATAACAAATGGATTTTCTCAGAGTCCTGAAGGGAGGGAATGAAAAGGAGCCAGACTCTTCTCTGTGGTATGCAGTTAAATGACAAAAGGTAATGGGTGCAAATTAAAAATGTGAAATTCCATCTCAAATCAGAAAAAACCCTTTTTTACTGTGATGATGGGTCAGACTCTGGACCAGGTTGCCCAGAGTGGAGTCTTCAACTGTGAAGATATTCAAAACCCAAGTGGAAACAGTCCTGGGCAAACTGCTCTGGGCGGCACTAGATGGGCCCTAGAGGCATTGGACTAGATGGTATCAAGAGGTCCCTTCCAGTCTCAACCATTCTGTGATTCTGCATAACTTGACATTCATAAACACTAGTTTTGTATAATTCCTGGAGTCTGTTGTTAAATTTCTTTCTGTTAGGGAAAAAAAGCCAATAAGTCATTGAAAAAATTATTTTAATGAAAGAAAAAAGAAAGACCTTCTGTGGTTTGGGAGCAAGAACATCTGGTCCCCAAAGGAAAATCTTAATGCTTACACTGGTTATTTTGCTGCCAGTATGTGCATAAAACTAATTTAAAGCTTAATGTCTTATTTATTAGTAGCTTAGAAAGGAAATCTATAACAACCTTCCTGAGTTTCAATCATTGTTTAACTGTGTTTTATATAGCCTGTCAAAGAAGATGGTAAAGAAACGAAAGCAGAGAAAGTTGCAGAGGAAAAGGAAGAAAAAAAAGAAGAAGAAGGAAAACGGGAGACAAAAGAAGTGCAGACAGCTGAAACTAAACCACAACACATTCCTCAGAAGTCTCCCAAGAAAATTAAAACTGTGCAGTGTAAAGTGATGCTTCTGGATGGCACGGAATACAGCTGTGACCTAGAGGTAAAGCATCAAGTCTCTTATATAAAGAGCTCTTTTTCTGTAGAGAAAAAGAAAATTTTCTTTCATTGGACTGAGTTTAACAAATACATTTTGTGTATCTAGTGAGCTCATTACAATGTTGCATTCACATGGCCATCATTAGAGCCAGTAAAAAGTAGAGTTTTAACATTAAAAGTTAAGTTACGAGCTTATCCTTTAAAAACGCATTCTGAGGTACACCAGCATATAAGATAAATGCAATATACTAATCCTTCCAATGGTGATCATTTGACAGCCCAAACTTTAGTTATTTGCAAAAGATTAAGGTTTTCCTGAAGGTAGTGTCACATGGACTAACAAAGTTGTCTTGAGCTCTTTTTTTTAAGTTATATTAGCTGGAGAGCTAAAGTTTTCTTCAAAGAAAGATTTTTTTACAGTTATGAACTACATATTTGTTTGTCAAGTTATGTTCTAGTTCCAGATTTTCATGGCTGCATGAGATTGTTTACAACTGTAAATCACTGGGTTAGATATTGTGTGTATTTGTCTGTTGAATCTAACTTAAGATCACTAATACAAATAGGGATTGTGAGCTAAAATTGCTTTGTGGGTTTGATGGCTTTAATGTCCTTTAAAAAAAATATATATATACACACACATGCTCTTTCAGTCTGACTGTAGTGCACAAATTCTAAGTCAAATAGTTAGTTGTTCAATATTTTACACCTATATTAAGTTATGAAGCATGTAATTACATGAAAGGAAGAGAAAGTTGCATTCCAGATCTTATTTCAATTAAATAACCTTTGGTTTGACATATTATTACCTTACTTATTTAAGAATTCTCATAAGTATAACTTGTCAGCAGCTTACTTCAGGCTAGTACTGTCTCCCAAAAGATGCCTGTCACTTCAGCACAAAGGTGTGAGAGGCTGGTCTTCATTAGGGAGTTCAGTTGTAAATGCTTTTGCCTGTAGAAGATACAATACAGACTGTTATAAACTGCACAACTTCTTTAGGCACACTTCCTGAAGGGTTGGGAATTGTTTGAACTAGAAAGTTTGTATTTCTTGCTGGACTGCTGGATGCCCCAGAAATAAAGTAATTTATTAAATATAAGAATATGGTACTCCCATGGAAATAAGATAACGTTCCTTGTAGGACAGGTTATCTTTGGAAACTATTTCTAGCCAGTCAGTCAGTTGTAAAACACATAAAATTACTTATTTCTATTTTGTAATTCCAGTAAAGTTTGCAGACACTTGAAAACCATGTTCATAGTACCAGAAGAATTTAGCTTTGTACCTAAAGGATTGGGTAGGTGATATTTTCGAAAGTTCTTCTATCTAATAGTACCCAAGGCCGATTCTGATAGTGAGTCTTGGCTCCCTTACACAGCAGCATTCCAACCCTAAAAAGCTCTCTGCTCTTCAGTAGTTGCTTCCACAAGGACAGGAGCTCTGAGCTGTTCTTGTGTTCAACCATTTGTAAACTTCTGGGAAAAAGAGGAATCAAGTGAATTAAAGAGCTGGTGGAGGCTGCCTGGCTTTCTTATGCTACTCTACTTGTTTCTTCTAGACATAGTCATTTCTCTTTCTGAAATTTCTCGTTTTTTCTTATTGCTGTTTGTTCTAGTCATAAGAGATGGCTGCAAGGTGATGAGAAGTTCTTATGGCTTTATAAGATGCTAGTCTAGAATATAGTTTTCATTTATGGGTTCAGTAAGCTAAAGATGGGACTAAGCAACATGATACAATTTAGTGTTTTGAAAATTGGTACCTAATATGACACCACAGCAAGCAGAATTTTTAAGTGAGTGTTAGAACCACAATGCATTGGTAGCATTAATTAATATTTGTTATAGACGGTTATAGGTTTCCTCAATAAAGTCAAATCGTCCTTCACATTTCTGTCTTCAAACCTGTTCTCTAATAAACTTTTCCTGTCAGCTAAGAAATTCTTATTCATTGTTTATCAACATGAAATACTCCTTTCAGTTTTATAATTTCAGTGTGTTTCTTGAAGTACAATATTTTAGCCCTACAGGGATGTCTCCCTGACAATGTCAAATGTAGATCACTTCACCGTAAATCAGTCAACTGTAAAATGCAATAGTGAAACCTTTGTTGATGATAGTTAAGTCTACTTATTTTTTATGTTGTATTTACAGAAGAAAAATAATTTGAATAAACAAAACATGAACATGAAAAACATACTACAGAACAATTGCTCTCCTGAACTCATTGCTTAGGGCTATGCATATTATGATCTAAAGTTGTAGGAATGTTAGCCATAAAAGTTCTTGAGAAGTATTTTTATATTCTTATCAGTATACATAGGAAAAAAAAATAAATAGAAATTACATACAAAATAGAAATTGACATAAATGTTAGAGTAATCCTGGAGTTCTCATTTGATATTTCATGTAAATCAGGATGTTTAAATCTGAATGGTATCTCTGTATTAATAAAGACTATATGAATTTTATTTTCCTGGGCTGTTTCCTCATCCAAAAATGAGACTTAATGAAGTTGTGGCTTACCACAGATTTAAAAAGATACCATTTTGCATTTACAACTGAAAAATTCTATTCTGCAGTATTCTAACTCTATCATGTTTCAGTTATGTTGGTTGGCAAGAAATATATTTTGTGATTATTTGTAATAAATAAGAATTTGCTGTAGGAACAGAAGCAAAAATTAAGGAGAAAGACAAAGTGGAATAAAAACAATTTTGGCTTATATGTTCCTTTGAATCATTTATAGGACATGAGCAGTGCTGACTGCAATTTTATAAACTAATTAATTTTCTTAAGTACAAGTAGAGCTTTTTATGCTCTACTACTGTACCAAAATATTAAGTCTTAGAATGCACTTCAACTGATAACTGGAATTTCAGTTTGTGCTCTCTGCAGTGATCCTTATAGTGGATCATTTTCTTTAGTCTTCATTTAAAATGTAATATTTAGTGTTTGCGTAAATGCTGGATTATTTCTGCTTTACAAAGTAACAGAAATAATGCTACACTTAAAAAGCAAATAAACGAAAATTCTGCAGTCTAAGTACAAAGTGCAAAGCCCAGTTCACCTTGGCTGACTTTGTAGTAAATCGGGCTTCAGTTTGGAGCAATTTCCATAGTTGAAGCATTCCTGTTGCCTTTTCCAGTTTTTACTATGCATTGTAAAGCACTTTCATGATATATTATTTATATAGAGACACTTCTTTACTTCCTTAACAGCAGGTATGTATATTTAAAACTGAAAAAAAGGGTTGGGGTGCGAGTGGGAACAAATGTCATTCTTACTGTCAAGAATGAAGATGTGGGAAATTATGGCAGGCTGATCAGCCTCACCTCAATCCTTGGGAAGGTTATGGTGCAAATAATTATTTCCAAACTTCTTCAGGACAAGAAGGTGTTTAGGAGTAGTCAGCATGATTTATAAAGGAGAAACCATACCTTCTACAATGTGGTGACTGGCTTTGTGGATGAGGGATGAGCTGTGGATGTAATCTCAGCTTCAACAATGTTTTTGAAAATTTCACATGATTGTTCTAGACAAAGAGATGCTGTATGGGCTATGTAAGTGGACAGTGAGGTGGACTGGAAGCTGGCTCAACTGCTGTGTTCAGAAAGTTGTGATCAGCATCCCGGAGTCTGGCTGGAGGCTAGTCACTAATGCTGTGCTAAAGGCACTGATACCAAGGCAATTGGTGACCTCGATGGTGGCACAAAGTGCATCCTCAGCAAGTTTGTAGATGATGATAAAATTGGGAAGGGTGGCTGATATATCAGAGGGTCCCAGACAGACTGTGAAGATGGGCAGATAGGGCTCTCATGAAGTTCCACAAAGAGAAATACAAAATCTTGCCTGCATTTGAGGAGGAACAACCCCATGTACCAGTATGGGCTGGACTAATTGGCTGGGAAGCAGCTTGGCAGAATAAAAATGGGTGTGGGGTCAGGGGTGCTAATGGGCAAGGTGGCCATGGGCCAGCAATGGGCTCTTGGAGCAAAGAAAACCAGTAGTTTCTTGACCTGCAGTAGGAATGATGTTGGCAGCAAGTCAAAGAAGAAGTGGTCCTTCTCCTCTGCTTGGTATCAGGAGTGCTGGGTCCAGTTCTTGGCTGCCCCAGTACAAGAGAGACTGGAACATAATTGACAGAGTCCAGCAAAGGACTGCAACGTTGATTAAAAGCTTTAAGTGTCTGATGTATGAGGAGGGAGTGGTGAAGGGGGAACCTGGTCAGCAGCAGACTCAGGAAGAGTTTAGCACTGTGTACATATGCCTGGCCAGGGGATGAATAAAGAAGGTAGAACCAAGCTTTTTTTAGTGGTGCCCAGTGGTAGAAAGAGAAGAAATGAGCACAAACTGAAGTACAGAGAATTCCACTAAAACACGAGTGTGAGAGGATATCAGCTGAGGGTGATAAACACCAGAACAGATTGCCTGGTTAGGTTGTGGAGTCTCCAGCCTTTGAAGTATTCAGAATCTGACTAGACAAGGGTTTGACCTATGTGTTGTGAGCAGGGGTATTAGGTGAGCAGGTGTGATGACCAGCAGAGGTCCCTTCAAACATCAACTAATGTACATAATTATAGCTGTGTTTTGCCGTTGTAGGAGTATAATTCAGGACTTAGCTGTGTTAATAGTTTAATTTATTCTATATAATGCATGTTACGCACATACTCTGTCAATTAAAAACTACTGATAGCATGAATGGTATTAATATACAGTTATTATTAAAGAAATAAAACCAATGGCATACCTGTAAATCCATGAAGTTGACTAATAACATAGCAGTTGCAGTGCCTATATGCAGACTGCCCCCAAAACCATTGCATTGACCGCTGGTTGATGCTACCATCTTGACATTTTGCAAGGAGCTATCTAATATGCTAGCCTAGTGACCTTTCTTCCTACCTAGTCTTGGTGAATTGAAGCTCAGTTATGTTGGAGGGTTGGCATGTATGGTCTGTTTCTGTGTGGCATATCACCGAGGTGAACAATGATTCCAGTTTAG